CTTGGGCTCCCAAAGTGCTGGGATTATAGGCATGAGCCACCACACCCAGCCAGCAGGGGTATTCTTTGCAAACTAGTGCAACGGTTGGATTTATTCCATGTTAGGTTTAGACTAATGATCATTGGTGAAAACATTTTCGGGAATTGGATATATGGATTTGTTCTTCTTTTGAGGGTCTTGTATTAAAGGGGATGTACAGGATCAAGAGTCACTGGAAAACACTGTTGTTGGGACCTCATTATACCCCAAGCTGTGGAGTCCCCGCCTGGGTCAGGAAGGGAAGTGGGTGTGACTTGGAGTGAAGCTCTATTGAGCACAAAGCGCCTTTGAGACCCAGTCATTTTTCTGACCACAATTCTTTTCAAGAACATCGTGTCCCCTTCTTCTGATCTGCTACTGCACAGAGCCTTGTCCAGGCCACACTCTCTGGGGCCAGTCCAGGGGGTTGGAGCTGGGTCTGACTCCACAGCTCCTTCCTCTGCAGGAAGAGGGTGGGGCGGGGGGCACATGCGGAATCTTCTCAGAGGACCTGTTGGGTGGGAAATAGTTGCTCAGGAGGTAAGAACACCCCTGCTTTAATCTGCTTACTCAGAACAAGAAGCCACCTTCTGGGTGGATGAAGGATGAGGACAAGAGTAGGGACTCTGGCATGTGTGACCTTGGTTGGGGCTCAGCCTCCTCATCTGTACAGAGAGAATGACGGGCCCTGGTCCTTGAGCTTCCGGTGCCCCAGGTGGATCTCCTAAGGGACAATAGATCAACTCTCCCGATGGAGACCCTGGCCCAGGCTGGCTTTTGTGAAGATCCATTTTTGGGCTCCATTTCCTATAGATAGCACATGTAATAAAACTAAACTGCTGGCTTCGAATCCCCAGAGCACCAATAATGTGTAGGGATTAGGGAGAGTGGGAAGCCCCAGGGAGCCAGGGACCTGGTCAGGTGGTGGCCTGGGGTCAAATATGGAGAATAGGCGTTGTAGGGCTCAGAAAAGCAGGTGTGGGGCTGAGGTATTTCGCAAAGAGTTTTCTTTTTTGAGACGGAGTCACCCTCTGTCACCCATGCTGGAGTACAGTGGTATGATCTTGGCTCGCTGTACCCTCTGCCTCCTGGGTTCAGGTGATTCTCCTGCCTCAGCCTCCCAAGTAGCTGGGATTACAGACACCGGCCACCACACCTGGCTAATTTTTATATTTTTAATAGAGACAGGGTTTCACCATGTTGGCCAGGCTGGTCTCAAACTCCTAACCTCAAGTGATCCACCCGCCTCGACCTCCCAAAGTGCTGGGGTCATAGGTGTGCGCTACCGTGCCTAGCCTTTTTTTTTTTTTAAATAGGAGATGAGACTTGAACTAGGTCAAAAAAGATGGGCAGATGTCAGAATCCCAAAAACCACATTTCTTTTAAGATTTTCAGGGCAAATATTACCTCATGCTTATGTCCTCAATAAAGGGCACACAAATATCATCACTGAACCAGAGGTGTCTGGAAGCAGGCCAGTATGGGACAGGAGTTCCCAGGGACTCTGGGGGACGGTTCCCAGGTCAACAACGAGAATCAGCCACCAGACAGCCCCTGCAGCATTTTGCTGGCCCACAGGTCCTTGAATCCCCTTCTATAACAGTAGCAAATGCTTTTCTGGAGATTCAGGAGCAGTGGATGGGCATCAGAGCGAAGGCACCGCAGCAGGTCCCTCATCACCCCAAGCCAGTGGGGCCCAAACCTGGCTGCCTCTCAGAATTATGCTGGGGACCTTAAAAAACACAGATTCTGCTGGGTGGCTCATGATACAGTCTCATGCCTGTAATCCCAGCACTTTGGGAGGCCGAGGAGAGTGGATCACCTGAGGTCAGGAGTTCGAGACCAGCCTGACTAACATGGAGAAACCCCATCTCTACTAAAAAATACAAAAAGTAGCCGGGCATGGTGATGCATGCCTATAATTCCAGCTACTCGGGAGGCTGAGGCAGGAGAATTGCTTGAACCTGGGAGGCAGAGGTTGTAGCGAGTCAAGATCGTGCCATTGCACTCCAGCCTGGGCAACAAGAGTGAAACTCTGTCTCAAACACACACACACACACACACACACACACACACACACACACACACACAGATTCTAGTACCTCTCCACTGGCCTGAAGAGTCAGAATCTCTGGGGTAGGACTCTGGCATCTGGAGCTAGGAAATGCTGATGATGCGGGCCAGGAGGTGTGTATTTGAGCATCTCTTTTTCCGGGTCACTCAGTCCACGTGAAGACTTTGGCTTGGGCTTTCTAAAGTTCTGCACTAGCCTCAACGTCCTGGTATGGCTTTCTGATGTGGGCCTATGGCTGGGATGTGGTGGAAACCTAAGCAGCCTGTCCCCCTCATGTGTGTGTGGCTTCCACCACTTGCATCTCAGCAGCTCCAGCCCACAGGGGAGCAGATCCCCAGACCCTCCCCAAGCTCTTCTCCAAAGCAGGAACCACTTGGCATCAACAGCTGCCTTTTGTCCCCGTGGAGCGAGACCAGGACATGCATAAATGCAGTTGTGAAGGCAATTTTTCTCAGACAGGAACATATAAGACAATTCCTCAGCATTCAAATTATTATAAAGAGCCGAGTTCCACTTCAAAGGGGGCTAATTTAATAAGAGGAAGAGCTGGGCCTCCGAGGAATTCTAATTAGATTTCTTTCCACACCCGCCTTGCGTATTTTTCTGAAGAGCAGCCAGGGCGGCTAGATTGTGTTGTGTTTGGGTCCAGTGTGAAGAAGCTGTGAAGCCAGACCTAGCCAGGGAAGGCCATCCATCTGCCTTGAGCCTGACAGCCCAGCAGGAGCAGGGCCTGGCTACCACCAAAGTCAACAGGATTCAGGGCAGCAGGGATGAGGAGGAGCTGGGGAGGGGGCTTGGGGTTGCAGACGGTTTCCTGTACCAGTCTGGGGACATGGTGGGTGGGGTGGGCTCGGAGAGGGAGGTCTGGAGCCAAACTGCCCGTGTTTGAATCCCAGTCCTTCCCTTTTTTAGCTGTGTGCCTGTTATTCCTCTCCATAGCTCCTCAGTTTCTTAATCTGTGAAATGGGGCTAAGGATAGAAATCACTCCATCAGGCACTTGGGAGCATTATGTATGCTGGGGCACATAGAGGGCTAGGATAACACCTGGCACAGGGAATTATTGTTATTCCTCTCTAAAATAAGGAGATCAAAGATGGGAAGGGCTTCCCAAGGTCAGGGCTGATTTAATTTTGCAGGAACCCCTTGGACTCAGAAGTCAGGTTGGAGAAACACCTGGCAGAGGATCCATCTCTTCTATGGTGACAAGGCCACAGAAACCTTCGCTCCAATCCTAGCTTTGTCCCTTACTAGCTGTGTGACGTTGGACAAATTGCTTTACCTCTCTGAGCTTCCGTGTCTTCTATCAAGGAATGATAATGATGATAAACTCAAACAAACGAAATTTGCATGGGGCGTGGCTCCTAACGGGGCCTTGATGAACGTTATGATCAAAATCAGTCATTCTCTAAAGCAAATATTTCCACATATTTCCACCTCTGGAGTTTGCACATGTCTTACAATTGATTAGTGGGGACTTACAGTTGCTGTTGCCTGGGCAAACACAGAAAAACTTTCGTATCAACACTTGCAGAATTGGAGGGAGTGGCTTGGTAGAAAATCCGAGGGGGAATTAGGAACAAATGGTCATGGGAGGGATGTGGGGAAATGGTGACTGACGTGTTTAGCAGCGTTGCCCACATAGGAGTCACAAGTGAGCCAATGGATTGTTTAAGCCCCGGGGTTAAAGACCAGCTTGGGCAACTTGATGAGATCCCATCTCTATTATTAAACAACAACAACAACAAAAAAACAGAAAACAAACCCCCCAAATAAACAAACAAAACCCCACAAAAGTGAGCCAGCACCGCACGATGACAAAGCCGGGCTGAGAGCCCAGCACTCCTCGCCTCTGCTTCCTTCGTGGAATCGTTTACAAACTGCCATGTCACCAGAGCGCTTGAAGGTAAGACGGCAATATTACCTGGGAAAACATGGACTCCAATGACTAAGTTGAAAGGAATTCAGAAGGGCCTGGCTGTGACTGTGATGCAGCTTTCGGGAGATGGTAACAAATTTAGGTGCTTTATTGTTTCATTTTATGTATAGGCAAGAGTGATAGATGAAAACCCACGTCTAAGTTGAAAAAGCTTTCTCTAAGGATGTAATCGAAATTCTAAGTGATGAGAAAGCGTTGAATCCTGGTTTATTTTGCAGAGTTTTCCATGCTGAGTGGTACATAAATTCATGCTGTGTTTTATGATCAATGTTGTCTTAGGATTGATGACTTTTGATCTGATTTTTCATCTTCTCACACAAACCTGACTACGTTGGGACAAAGAGGATGTTGGCCCCACTTGTTCTGAGTATGGCTTGAGCCTGGTGCTGCGCTCTGCATTTTACACCGTATTTCACCGATTCCTCCTGTCTTAGTCCATTTGGGCTGCCATCAAGGAATACCGGAGACTGGGTAATTTACAAAGAAAAGAGGTTTATTTGGCTCACAGTTCTGCAGGCTGTACAAGAAGCATGGCACCAGGGTTTGCTTTTGGTGAGGACTTCAGGAGCTTCTAATCATGGCAGAAGGGGACGGGGAGCTGGAGTGTCCCATAATGAGAGAAGAAGGGAGCAAAAGAGAAAGGGGAGGAAGGTGCCAGGCTCTTTTCAACAATCAATTTTCTTGTGAACTAGTAGAGCAAACATTCACTCGTTTCTGCAGGATGGCACGAAGCCACTCATGAGGGATCCATCCCCATGACCCAAAGCCCTCCCACTAAACCCCATATCCATCTTGGGGGATCAAATTTCAACATGAGATTGGAGGGGACAGATATCCAAACTCTATCACCTCTCAACGAGCCCATAAAGAATTTTCCTCTTCATTTTGCAGATGAACTGAGGGCTCACACAGGAAATGACAGCCTAAGATTTCCAGGCAAGAACTGGATCCTGGATTGGAATGCATCGAGCATGTCGCTCTATCCTGAGGGTGGAGGTAAGAGGTATGGCCTCCCTCCAGAAGTTTCCCTTCTGCTTTGTGCAATGCTACCACCCAGGAATCCCTCTGTGGCCTGTGTAAGACCTCTCGGATCCACGGTCAAGGCCAACACACCAAGACCCAAAGCCTGGAGTCATCATTTATCAAGCAATACACAATTACCATTTATTGGGTGCTCAGGAGGCAGGTCAGTGACAGAAGCTGTATTGAATTAGGTGCCAAGAGATATGGGTTCTAATTCCAGTGACGTCATTCACTCGCTGTGTGGTCTTGGCCAAGTCACTTAACTTCTCTGGGCCTCAGTTTGGTCATCTGTAAAGTAAATAGATCACAGTGGGATGTTGGTAGGGTCCCTTCCAATTGTAACAAATCTGTCTTTTATGCAGGTCTTGGGGGCTTGGAGACCTTGACAATGGATTTAGTCCAGCTGGAGTCAGGCAGGAGCTCTGGAAGTCTATGATGGACATGGGGAAGCCATTGGCCTTCAAGTGTAGGGTCAGTGCAGGATGGATGGAGAACAAAAACACACAGGCTTCTTGCACGCTGGGACACCAGGATCTGGCACCTCCTAAGGATCTCCTCCTGTCCTGGGAGGGATTTTGGGCCCCCGGTGATGTCTGTACAGGAAAAGGTCTGTGGGCAGCCCAGGCTTAGGAACTTTTTTGATAAAACAGCACTTGAGCCACATTCTTTAGTGTTTCACCTCATGCTAATCTTGTGCAGGACTGAAGGTGCATTAGGGCTGGAAGGGGCTCCAGGGACTGGTTCTCACTGGTTTGTGGAGGAGGAAGCAGTTATGTAACTGAGGCAGCTGTGTCTTTGTTCACTTCCCAAGTCAACTGTAGAGTCCTGGGGAGAAGGGACCTGCTTGCTTCCCCAGGAGCCGTCCCTGGGCTAAACAAGGAGGCGAAGAGGCCTCTGCTGCTGCATGCAGCCTTGCTGTGCCTGCGACAACTAGAACCATTAACATTCTCCGGCTCGGCCTCCGAGTAGCTGGGATTACAGGTGTGCACCACCACACCTGGCTAATTTTTGTAGTTTTAGTAGAGACGGGGTTTTACCATGTTGGCCAGGCTGGTCTCAAACTCCTGACCTCAGGCGATCCGCCCTGGCTGTGTGACTTTGGGCAAGTGGCTGACTTCTCTGGGTCTCCATTTCCTTACAGGTAAAAGGGTGATGATAATGATAACACTGAGGATTGAATGAATGAAGAAATGGCAAGTGTTTGGCATCAAGCCTCCCCTGGTGTCAGGAACTCAGAGTTGGAGTTCCCTAAGTGTAGCATCATCGTCAGGGTTACCATCGTGACTCTGGGGCAGCCATCCCCCACCCCCTTCCCTCTTCGGGTACCCCAGAGCCATAGAGCAGACCAGCAGGGCTTTCAGGGGCATTGGGATTTTCAGACAGTAGCATAGCGGTTGTCCTCCATTTCCCTGGCCAGGGCAGGTCCAGTGGGGCTGGCCAGCAGCCCCTGCTCTCAGGATCCGGGTGGAGTTTCATTAGTAGGAAAGGCTGAATCCAGGCACCTGCACACCTCCAGGAGGGAGTGTGGCTCCCAATGCCCGTCTGGGGACATTGCATCAAAGGTTCCTTTCCACAGGCTCAATCTTCAGATGCCTCAGCCCTCCCCGAGCCCTGACCACAGGCCAAATGGCGCTGGGCCACAGTATCAGGGTTCTCCAGCAGCTCCGTCCTCCAGGGAGGAAGAGGTGGTGAATTTCCGAGCTGGGACAGAACGCAGAGTGGCTGGAGCAGGCCAGCACCTCGCCTCATGTACTTGGAGAACCTGGAGACATCAGGCAGCAAATGAGGAGCATTTTGAGGCTTTCCAGTTTCTTTTTTTAATTAATTAATTAGTTAATTAAGTTTTTTAATTGAATTTTTTCTTCAAGTTCTCATGACTGATTTCCTTAAGGTTGCGACACATGAACACATGTTTCCTCCAAGGAAATTTAGAGAACTCAGGTTAGCAAAAAGAAGAAAATGAAAGTCCTGCATAAACTTACAATCTGAGGATAATGTCCTTTAATGTTTTCTTCTTCCTGTCTTTTTTCTGTGAGCAGATAGACAAACAGGCTTTAAAAATATACCTTGAAAATAGAAGGATTCTCTATGTGAAGTACTTAGAATATTGCCTAGCCCATAGTGAGTACTCAATAAACTTTTACTGTTACTATTATTTCTACTTTATAGCCTGATTTTTCTCTCTTAAATGGAATTTCAGCTTCATGAGAATTAGAACCTTGCATACCTCATTAACCTCTATTAATCTAGTTCTTAGCACGTAATAGGTGCTCAATAAATATTTTAAATAGATGAAAGAATAAACATTTTTCCATCTCATTAGATTTGCATCTGTAATATCTAATGACACCATAATAATCCATTGCTTAATTTGCTTTTGAACTTGGCTGGTAATTGTTTGAAAAAACCACTCCCAACCTCCTAACTCTGCATCTCAGCCAATCACCTTATCCCAGACCTCATCCCCACCTTAACGAGATGGAGGCTGCTGGGTTCCCCAGAGCTTTGGGGACCCAGCGTCGCTTCAGAGAAGCCAGAAGCCAGCCTGTGGGCTGCCAGCGCCCTCTTTGGCTCGCAGAAACCGCTAATCATCAACTTAAACCGTCTAGGTAGCGCGCAGACGAGTAAAACCCCAACTCCTGCATTTTTGATGAAGTTGACATCAGAAAAACGCTCACAGCTTACTTGTCAGACCCAGCAGCGAGGGGCTGAATCAATAATGAAACACTGGGAGGAATAAAGCATTAAACAGGGCATTCTGCAAGGCAAGCAGCTTGGGGGTCAAGTCAGGGGACCCAGCATGGCTGGTGGCCAATAGTCCCTTCTGCTCGGCTGCCAGGCAGGGAGATGGCCGGGCATGCAGCTTGTCCTCCATTGCTACAAGTCTGGTAGGCGACGTGACTTCTTGGGAAAACCTCTAGGCCTAGGCTAGAAGCCCAGAAACATGGAAATAGTATCAACTTTGTGGCCTTAGGCAGGTTATTTTTTGCCTGTCTGTCTCAATCAGGAAAACAGATCCTTGAACCAGGACACCAAAGTTCTTCCCAGCTGAGAGATTCAGTGCATTCGGCTTGAACTTGGGGATACATGGTCCAGATATAAAATCTGTTAAATGTCACAAATGAACAGGACCTGGGAAATCCACCATTGTTCTTTTCTTCATGCTGGAGAGAACAACCTCCTTCTGCCTGTTCTGAGGTTCTTGGCTTTGGGGTCATTGCGAAAAGACTTCATTAGGTCTCTGTTCCATCCAGAGAATGTTTGCAGATAATTCTCTGTAGAGAAAAGGACTCCAGGCTCCGGGTTTCACCTTTCCCCTTACATCACATGTTTGGGTGCTGTGAGATCCTCAAGTTTGGAACAGAAATCTGTCCAGTCTCCAAAGACAAGAGGCTGGAAATAGGGAGGAAAGAGGACCCAACGGGAAGGAGTAAACTATGGATTCAGGCATCAGGTAGGAGTCTCTGCATTTGCTCTAAGACGTCTTAGAGCAAGATGTCTTAACCTGTTCATTTGCCTTCTAGAACTTCAGCACTCAAAGCCTGGTCTATGGACCAGAGACACTGGCCACGTCTGGGAGTTTGTTAGAAGTGCAGCATCTCGGAGCCCTTGAAGGTAAAACTGCAGGATCTGCAATTTTACCATTAAGCTGGGGGAGCTCTGCTCCAGAGAGTCCCACCCACTGGGGACAGGGTGGAGGTCAGCTGCCGTGCACAGCTGTTGCAGAGTGATGCTACAGTTTCGCTTCATTCAGCTCATTCAGGAGTCTCTGGCCTCACAGTGATGGTTTCGCTTTGTGGGGAGGGGACACTTTTGAAATGTCTTTTCTCTGAGTTGGTTTATTTATGCTTATTTTTGAGACCAGATTGAGTCAAAGGACGTAGAGAGTTTCTGTGAGTTTAATGGCATTTCAGAAGACTTCCCCGCTCTTTCGGTTGTGATAATAAAAATAATACATTCAGTAATCACTCAGGGCCTGCTAAGGGCCAGATTTGGGCTTGGGGAGGGGATCCCAGGCCGGGATATGATACAGTCTCAGGAAGCCCATGAGGACACAAACTGCAGCCAGACAAATCCCCACATAAGGCCTCTAACTACAGAAAGGGATGCCTTAGACACTGGATTCACCTCTCTTACTCTAATGAACAGATGATCTTAACCATAGAGGAAGTGCCTGGAGGATTTATTCAAAACATTTGTCAGCCGGGCCCGGTGGCTCATGCCTTGTAATCCTAGCACTTTGGGAGGCTGAGACAGGCGAATCACCTGAGGTCAGGAGTTTGAAACCAGCCTGGCCAACATGGTGAAACCCCATCTCTACTTAAAAATACAGAAGAATTAGCTGGGGGTGGTGGCGGGTGCCTATAATCCTAGCTATTCCGGAGGCTGAGGCAGGAGAATTGTTTGAACCCAGGAGGCAAAAGTTGCAGTGAGCTGAGATAGTACTTCGGCACTCCAGCCTGGGCAACAGAGCAAGACTCCATATCAAAAACAAAATGTATTTGCCTGGATCATCTCTCAGAGCATCTGATTCAGCAAAACTAAATGAGAAAGAGCTTCCACGGTGATTTTGATTCTCAACTTTGACCCACTAAGAATTACTGCTATCTATTTATTTATTTATTTAATTTTTTTGAGACAGAGTCTTGCTCTGTCCCCCAGGTTGGAGTGCAGCGGTGTGATCTCCGCTCACTGCAACCTCTGCCTCCCGGTTTCAAGCAATTCTCATGTCTCAGTCTCCCAAATAGCTGGGATTACAGGCATATACCACCACATCTGGCTAATTTTTTTCGTATTTTTATAGAGATGTGGTTTTACCATGTTGTCCAGGCTGGTCTCGAACTCCTGATCTCAAGTGATCTGCCTGCGTCAGCCTCCCAAAAGGGACTTCAGGCGTGAGCCTCCGTGCCTGGCCAGAGTTACTGCTTTGTAAAGCAGTCCAATTATTTCCTGTCTTTAGGAGCTGAAATGGACTTGTCTGTCATGATCAAAGGATTATGTCTTTTTCTGTGGCAGAGACTGCTTGCTGTACACCAAAGTTCTTTCTCCTCCCCTTCATGGGCATACAGCTGGACCACAAGTCCCAGTCTCCCTTGGGGTTGGGAGTGATCACGTGATCTTGTTCTTACTAATAGAATGTGATGCACATCTCTTTGGGCTAAGTCTTGAGAAAGTGGCTGGGTCTTCTCTGTGCACTCTGTCCACTCTCTCCAGCTGAGACCTCAACTGCGAGGGTGATAACACATTCCCAAGGGATGTCAGAGACACCAGATGGAAGAAACCTGAATCCCTGAATCTCCACATGGAGTCGAGATACCTGCCAACTGTCAACATTCACTTTGGATATGAATGAGAGAAGGAATATGCTTGTTTTTTTTTGCCCTTAAAGGCACTGCATTTGAGGGTCTTCTTATATTACAGCAGCTTACCTTACCCCAACGAATAGGGCACCAACATTCCCATGCACATTCTCCTAATACATTTTACTTCAAGGTTCAGAATTCAAGACTTAGCCTTATACCACCGCACTAAAGCTCTTATTTGAGAGTGGAGCTTTTGCTTAATGCATCCTATTCTCAGGATGGAATCAGGATTCTAGTTTACTTTCTTTTTTGAGCAACTGTTTGTAAGAGTTGACATTTCATGGTTTTTATTCTTCCTTAGAGATCTTTCAAAGAAAAAAAGAGAAATTGTATGTTTTATTTATTTATCTATTTATTTAGAGACGGAGTCTTGCTCTGTCTCCCAGGCTGGAGTGCAGTGGCATGATCTCAGCTCACTGCAACATCTGCCTCCCAGGTTCAAGCGATTCTCCTGCCTCAGCCTCCTGAGTAGCTAGGATTACAGGCGCCCACCATCATGCCTGGCTAATTTTTGTATTTTTAGTAGAGATGGGGTTTCACCATGTTGGCCAGGCTGGTCTCAAACTCCTGATCTTGTGATCCGCCTGCCTTGGCCTCCCAAAGTGCTGGCATTACAGGCATGAACCACTGTGCCTGGCCTGTATATTATTTTTAAACAGACAAATATTACTTTGTCTTGCAATTACCACATGGGCCCACTGAACGCCTTCTTAAATCTAAGATTATGGGATTGCATGATTTTATTTTCCCTATCTCTTGAAAAATTTTGCCATTTCCTCAGCCTAGAAATTATTTCATCATCACCTATCCTAAGCTATGCTAAAAAGACTAAAATAATAATAAAAGGGAATGAAGATAATGGAATTGCCCAGGAGAATGATGGAAAAATAAGATCACCATCACTGTAGTGTCACCCTACAGTTTTCTTTCTTCTTCTTTTTGAGGCAAGATCTTACTCGGTCACCCCGGCTGGATTGTGGTGGCATGATCACAGCTTGCCACAGCCTGGACTTCCTGGGCCCAGGTCATCCTCCTGCTTCAGTCTCTTGGGTAACTTGGGCTATAGGTGCACGCCATCATGGCCAGTCAATTTTTAAAAATTATTTGCATAAATGGGGTCTCACTGTGTTGTCCAGGCTGGTCTCGAACCCCTGGGCTCAAGTAATCTCCTTGGCCTCCCAAAGTTCTGGAATTACAGATGTGAGCCTCCATGCCTGACCCAGCCTACAGCTTTCTTACTGTGTTTTCATCAACAAAATTATAAGCCATTAACAATTTCAAAAATTTCTTCAAGTGTCCGTGAACCACACTGCCCACACCTTCTTCACTCCCGCCAACACCGGCTGCACCCCAAACCATGAGATGCTCGAGGAGGAGCATGAGGTGGCTGTGCTGGGGGCATCCCACAACCCCACTCCACCGAGGTCCCCCATGCTCCACATCCACAGTGACACCTCCTTGCCCGACCATGTTGTCTGGTCCCTGCTCAACACCCTCTTAGTGAACTGCTGCTGCCTGGGCTTCATTGCATTCACCTACTCCATCAAGTGGTCAAGGGACAGGAAGATGGTTGGTAACCTGACCGGGGCCCAGGCCTATGCCTCCACCGCCAAGTGCCTGAACGTCTGGGCCCCGGTTCTGTGCATCCTCAGGACCGTTCTGCTCATCATCATCCCAGTGCTGATCTTCCAAGTCTATGGATAGAACAGGAGGCAGCCTCCAGGCCAGGAGCTCTGCCTACCACGTGTCTCCCACGCACTCCACCTTCCATGCCTCAACCTGCCCCTGGAGCTGCGTCCTGTATTAGCCGTTTATCCTCAAACACTTTTCTACAAGGGCATTCAATAAAGTGCATGTGAATTGTTAATTCAATAAAAAAAATTCTTAAAGTATTGCACTTTGAATTTGCAAGTGCAAGCAGGAAAATCAGAAATGACGAGAAGCTAGGATCCAGTAGAGATGTATTTTGAATCTGACATCTGTATTTATAAGATGCATGTGATTCTGGTCCATACATAGCAGTTGATGAGAATTTAGGTGTATTCAGAGACTGTTGTCCATTTTAAGTATGTACCTTCAAAACCCAGGAAAGTAGGAAATAAAAATTTAGGTTTGTTATGCTTAAATTCTTTTTAGAATATCTAATAATTTGTTCTGCACTCTCCCTGTATTCTTATTTTTGTAAGTTATTTTTTTTAAAAGATTTAAAATATTTGAGTGGTCCATGAGTCCTAGATGGTAAATGATAATGGCTATTTTCCCTCATATACTAAAGATGAAAACAATCTGGCCAGGTGTGGTGGCTCACGACTGTAATCCCAGCACTTTGGGAAGCCAATGTGGGTGAATCACCTGAGGTTAAGAGCTCAAGGCCAGCCTGGCCAACATGTAGAAACCCCGTCGCTACTAAAAGTACAAAAATTAGCCGGGTGTGGTGGCATGCACATGTAGTCCCAGCTACTTGGGAGGCTGAGGCAGGACAGTTGCTTGAACCCAGGAGGCAGAGGTTGCAGGGAGTTCCTGCTAGTTTCGTGGGGCCACAAAAGATTTTATTTTAAAATCAAAAGAAAAATGAATATAATAATAAAATAATGAATCCATCCTAGATTATGTTCATTTTTATACCACCAATGGAGTCACAAAATAGAATTTAAAAAATTAATTTAATTAATGTGTAGCCCAGGCTGGAATGGAGTGGTACCATCTCAGCTCACTGCAACTTCCGCCTCCTGGGTTCAAGCAATTCTGCTCAGCCTTCCGAGTACCTGGGATTACAGGTGTGTACCACCATGCCTGAATAATTTTTGTATTTTTAGTAGAGACAGGGTTTCACCGTGTTGGCCAGGCTGGTCTCAAACTCCTGACCTCAGGTGATCTGCCCGCCTTGGCCTCCCAAAGTGTTGGGATTATGGGCGTGAGCCACTGCAGTTGAATTTTTTTACGTGAAAGATGAGGCCCACCAAGGCAGTAATGCCTAGTGCCCATGAAAGTCATAAAGCAACCCTAGGTACAAGCTGCCGCGCCCCTTAGACCATACACGCCCACCGATCTGAAGTGTCAGAGGTGTCACTGCTAGATCGGCACACCATGTAGAGCACCTTGTGAGATCCATGGGGAGGGCCGAGTGCAGATTCCTAGAGTTCTAGGGATACAGTTCTAGAGTTCCTGTGTCAAGGCCAGGTCCTCTCTGGCAGAGAGGACTCTCCACTGGAAAAGCAGCTCCTGGCAGGACGCTAAACCACAGTAGATACAGAGTACTTCACCACGGGATGCAAGTGACCACATGGCAGGGCTGCCTGTCCATTGTGAGCTGTGTATTGTCAGAGCGTCCAAATCGAAAGGTAGTTAGAGTGCTTCCAGTTACATGATGGAAATGGTTTACTTGGGATTGAGTCCAAGCAGGTTCAGGAGGCACAAATAAATTATATGAACAGATAGCAGGGCAGAACCCATGTAACTGCCTTTTCTAAACTGACACCTCTCTCTCTTTTTTTTTCCTAATGAAGGTGGGGTCTCACTATGGTTTTTTTGTTTGTTTTGTTTTTCTGAGACAGAGTCTTGCTTTGTTGCCCAGGCTGGAGTGCAGTGGCACAATCTCGGCTCACTGCAACCTCCACCTCCTGAGTTCAAGCAATTCCCACCCTTCGGCTTCCTAAGTAGCTATAGGCACGCAGCACCATGCCCAGCTAATTTTTGTATTTTTAGTAGAGATGGGGTTTCACCCTGTTGGCCAGGCTTGTCTTGAACTCCTGACCATGTGATTCATCTGCCTCAACCTCCCAAAGTGCTGGGATTACAGGCGTGAGCCAGCACGCCCAGCTGGGGTCTCACTATGGTGCCCAGGCTGGTCTCAAACTCCTGGGCTCAAGAGATCCTTCTGCCTCAGCCTCCCGAGTAGCTAGGACCACAGGCATGTGCCACCCAGTCCAGCTAATTATTATTATTATTATTTTTTGTAGAGATGAGGTATTGTTACGTTGCCCAGGCTGGTCTCAAACTTCCGGCTCAAGCAATCCTCCTGCCTTGGTCTCTCAAGGTGCTGGAATTACGGGCGTGAGCCACTGCGCCTGGCCGGACTGATAGCGCTGACTCAGCTCACAAGTGTGGCCTTAGAAGGTTCTTTAGGATCTGAAGGAAAGAACTTGGCTGGTTCACAGGTAGGTTGGAGCCGTATATACACTGGCAAAATGGGGACTGTTAGCACCTGCCTTAGGGGGGTCCTAAAAGACAGTGGTGAGGCGAAATCCTCCTGGAGGGGCAGAGCTGTGGTAACCATCCTCCACGGCCCCCACTGCACAGAGAGCAAAGCAGCTCCCCGTGTGGGAACACATGACTCCTGGGAGGAGCTCATGGCGTGGCCCTGCTTCCTGGGAAATCAGAACTAGGACCTCAGGCTTACTTTCTTCCAGGCACTCATTAAATCCCCACTCAATCTTATCAGGTGGGTAGTTTTGTAATCCTCATTTGAAAGATAAGGAAACTGAGATACAGAAGGGTTTGATGAAAGTTGTTCAAAGTCTCACAGTTAATAAGTGGCCCTGTGGCCAGCACGGGGCCTCACGCCTGTAATCCCAGCACTTTGGAAGGCTGAGGCAGGTGGATCACCTAAGGTCAGGAGTTCGAGACCAGCCTGACCAACATGACAAAACCCTGTCTTTACTAAAAATACAAAAATTAGTAGTGGTGGGTGCCTGTAATCCCAGCTATTCGGGAGGCTGAGGCAGTATAATTGCTTGAACTTGGGAGGCGGATATTGCAGTGAGCTGAGATCGTGCCACTGCACTCTGGCCTGGGTGACTGAGCAAGACTCTGTCTCAAAAAAAAAAAAAAAAAAAAAGGGTCACTCTGAGGTTCAAACTCATGCAGTCCAGCTTTCAACTAGTTCTCATGGTGGAGTAGAATGACTAGGACCAGGTTGGGAGTTGAGACACCTCTGGGTTCTAATCCCAGCGATGACACCGATATCTTGTAGGGGTCTTGGGACAAATTTCATCTGTACTCTAGGGCTGTTTCCTCTTAAAAAATGGAACTCTATTATCGTGAATGCTTCTAAGTTACTTGATTCTTCTGGGCATTCCAGGGGTTCAGGGTGGGCAAGGCACAGAGCGATAGACATATGAATAAGCCATAGTCCCCCACGAGCACTGCAGCCCTCTCCCCAAGCGACAGCCATAAAGGCTGCATTCTTCACCTACCTGAGCAATTATGGGTTTGGAGGTTTTAAAATAATGATTCCGGCATGTGCTTTGTATAAATAAAGGTTGGGGCAGGGGGAGATGAGGGGAATGTGGGCCTGGCTCGTTTGTGCAGCTAAAAATAGAAACGTGAAAGTCCTGTAATGATGAGGCAGAAACTTAAAACAAATTTCTTGGAAAATTTCCTCCCCACCTCACATTGCCCAGGTATTTCCCCCTTTCGCCTGTGCAGAAGGAGCAGGGGAAATTGGGGTGAGGGGTGGGTGTCACAACACACACTTCCTTCCTGGCGCTGAGAAGGAGGGGCTGAGGAGACCAAACCGGGAACAGAGCTTCGGTTCAGGAGCCTGATGCAGGCTGACATGGGCCTTTGAGCTCCCTGAGTGGCATTTACAGCCACAGATATGGAAAAGAAAATAAATCTCCCAGACCCAGCATCTTGCTTTAATTAATACCATAATCAAGTTTCTGGCCTTGTGGAATGGAAGGATTTCAACACTCAAGGCCCCTCTGGCAGCCAAGCAAGAAGTGGGCCCCCTGGCCAAGTAGCCCCCAGGGCAATGGACTGGCCAGTCAGGGCCAAGAGATCAGGGAGGGTGTGCTCAGGGCTGCTGGACGGGACAGCAAGAGATGGGCTCCAGGTGTGAGGCAGGGGGCTCAAGAGGGAAGGAGGGAAGAGGAAAGCCTCTATGGAAGGTCCTATTAGGGTTTATTGTGCATTTTTCAATTGGGAAAGTTGTACTCCTCATTTTCCAGATCAGGAAACAGACCCAGAGAAATGGTGTGATTTGCCAAGTCACACAGCTAGAATGTGGTGGAGCTGGGAACTGAACCTAGGCTCCGTGAGTTCAGAGAGGAAGAGGGAAAACCAGCTCACTGAAGGATGGAGGACTGGTGCCTTCCATTTCTCCCCGTGGCCTGGGTGGGAGGTAGGGATGGTGCCCCTGTCAATCAGGATCACCCACTAACTGTTTTAGCTGATAGAAGTCTTTCAAGAACGGGCTGGGCACGGTGGCTCATGCCTGTAATCCCAGCACTTTGGGAGACCGAGGCAGGTGGATCACTTGAGGTCAGGAGTTCAAGACCAGCCTGGCCAACATGGTGAAACCTTGTATCTACTAAAAACACAAAAAGTATCTGGGTGTGGTGGTGCACATCTATAATCCCAGCTACTTGGGAGGCTGAGGTAGGAGAATCACTTGAACCTGGGAGGCGGAGATTGCAGCGAGCTGAAATTTCATCACTGCACTCAAGCCTGGTCAACATAGCAAGGCTCAGAGGAGGAGGAGGAGGAAGAGGAGGAGGAGGAGGAGGAGGAAGAGGAGGAGGAGGAGGAGGAGGAGGAGGGGGAGAAGGAGCAAGAGGAGGGGGAAGGGGGAGGGGAAGGGGAAGGAGGAGAAGGAGAAGGCGTCTTCCAAGGATTGAGAGGCGATGACCATATTTTAAAAGTGGCTTTAAAAGGAGAGAAGTGGTGGGTGCTGAGGAAGGTGGAGGAATGAGTGTACGGCGTCCAGGGGCTGGGTCTCCGGCAGGTTCCCAGCCCTCCTCAGGGCTAGGTGGAATGGATACCCAGGGGTGCCTCCA